CTCTCCGATGCTAATACCAGCTTATCCATGCTAGTCGCTAGCCTCTGCAATGCTAACACTAGCTTATCCATGCTAGTTGCTATCCTCTCCAATGCTAACACAAATGAATAGTCTCCTCCTCTTTTGCCAAAGCTGGCCTCTCAGTTAGCGGGGCCAGCTGCTCAGTTAGCGATGCCGGCCGCTGGCTTAGGAATAGATATTACCTCCTGCTACAAGGATGTAACAACCACTGTTTGTCCAATAGTCTTAATTTTGGCCTTCATATCATGTCATAATTATTGCACCTAATAATCTAAGATAGAAAAGGTTTAATTTATTGGACTCTCAGCAATTCTAAAACAAATGATGCAGAACAAAAACTACAGTTTACATCAAGGATACATTTTAAAAATGTGGGAAATAGGGATTTTTAAAAGTTCAACATTTGTGTATAAATAAGTGGTAGTCCATCATACATAGATCTGGGCCGGCAAGACTATCGTCAGTCCACAAAAAGGACTCCCTTTTTGCTCTTTGAAGAGTTGGCTCCTTGTCTTATTCCTCGTTTTGTATTTTGACAGCAGCACTGCAGCATCTAGCAGAGCTACTGGGTCATTTTCTCTGTTTTTTTAAAGCCACTTCAGTAGAAAGCAGTACTGAATATTAGTTTCTTAGTTTCTTCTAGGGTTGGGCAATATTGGCAAAAAAAATTATCACGATTAATTGTGGTATTTAGCCGATAACGATTAATTTGACGATTAATCCCCTGGACTCCCTGGACATCCTTATGTCCTAGTCACATGACCAATCTAGTGGGAAAGATTTGCTATTTATAAAAATCTGTTCCAAATTGTGTCAAAATTACAGACTTCAGGTTATACATCAATTTTTAAATTGTGTTGATAGAAAAATAAATTGCAGAACTTTTTTTTAAATGTTTGTCATGTTTGAAGTGGAGAGGAACACCGATGGGACTGACCGGGGAAATATCCAGGCAGTCTGCCTGATGGCATTAATCGTCAAGTGCCAAAAAATAATTGATTAGTGGTTTTCTGACAATTAATTGCACACGATACGATTATGCCCAACCCTAGTTTCTTCATCATCTTTTTTAAGAGGAAAAAGAGAGAAGAAAAAGGTGAAATTTAATGGGAAAGAGTGTAAGAGAGATTAGAAGATATGTGAAACATACATCAAGAAAACACAAGACAGCACACCCGACATCTTGGCTGCACACCTGCAGAAACAGAGAGAACAAAAGCACAGCAACAAAATGCATATGTGTATAATAATAATGATTATAAACTTACTGAAAGAAAGGTATACACACACACATGTATATAATACACACACACACACACATACATGCACATACATACATTTTCTGTGTTTTTGCGTATTTGAAAACATTTCAAAAAATGATAAAAGATCATTTTGGAAAGACCCCGTTCCTTTGTGGACGGGGYTCCCGGC